GCTAAATTGAGGTGACACAATTTGGAAGAATGTTTCTATTTAAAGATTAAACTTGTGTGCAACAATAGAAACTGAGAAATGAGATGCTCTTATGATTTATTTAGCCATTTAATTAAGCATTAAAGGGTGCCAACATCAAATTTAGCACGATATGACGTTCACTTTGAAGTAACATGATTGTTTCTTTACTGATCAGAGCAGAACTTTCAAGAAATGATTTCATGACGTCAGCAAACTTGAGTGTAGCGTTCATACACCGCGTGGCAGATGGATGATTTTTTTACCCAAAAAGTCTATACTGCGAAGAGAGCAAGAATCAGGGATTTAGAACATCAAAAAATAACATAAATCACCAATAAAAGTTTGATGTCTAGTTGATTTTTTCAAGCAACGTATAGGACAAGGACGCTGACATTCAAAAATGCGAAGAATGTGGAAAAGTTGTAATGCTTTCAAATTGTCGAGTAAAAATAGGTACATAAGCGCCAGTTTGCGTATGATGTAGTGTTCAAACACCAAGCCCTTGAGAAGAAACAAAAACTGAATGGTAGATGGTAGACGAAGAAATAAAATCAAAACGGAATGAAAAAATGCCAGGGAGATGTGTAAAACACTCCGTCCATACATTTTTCAGATCACTTATAGGTCGCATTTTAGGAGCTTGTTGTTTGAGAGCAGTTTATACTTTGAAGAGAGCAAGAATCAGGTAGTTTTCGCATCTAGCAAGCAGTGAGCTAAAAGAAATAGTAAAACAGCACATTATTTTGGAGAGAAGGAAGAATCAATGAAAAAACCACCTAAAAGAGCGGCAGGCAACGTTAGCCTAGTGTCAAACTGAATATTCCTATAAACAATGTAAGTCAGCGGCAATTCTTCGGTAGATAAGCTGCCAAATTTTCAATGTTATGAGGGAAAAGGGTTGAATATAGGAAGATAAAGAAAAACCTAATGTTAGTGTTTTTTATTAAGAAAGGAATGCAAATTTGACTACCGTGTTCTGGTTAGATTTTAAAGAAAATGTTTTGTAGCGTAAAAATTTTCGTGACTAGACCGGTACATATGAAATCGGGTCTTTGTACTGATGAGCGAAAGCGACAACTTGCATTTCTGGAAAGAATGCTAAGGAGGTGTTTGAATTCGTTTTTGTGTTTTCTTGCATACCGTTTTCTGTTTGTAGCTATTATTTTATTCCACGTGTACTATGCGTGTTAATGAATAAAAAAGTAAGTAAATAAAACTTCATTCAATGTGACTACATCAAAAAATCATCTATGAAGTCTTAAGTCTGCATTTCTGCTTCACTTAATTTGCATAACAAACACATCTAATTATTTAAGACGTATTTGATGAAATCATACGAAAATCTTTTGTAGACGTCCTTATGTTAGCGCTAATTTGTGTTTTGAAGCAGTAGTTGATTTCTAACTTTGCAGTGATGCTTGGGCACTGTCCAAGTAGAAAGTTCAAAAAAATTAAAGAATATACAAGAGCATGAAATTCATTGGAGTTTCAACAACAATACTAATTAGCCATTGCCGTCCACTGTCTGCTTGGCACATGTTGAGCCGACTATTTAGTTCAGGAATTTGATCATGTTATTTTGCATAATTTTAGACAATGTATGACCAATCGCTTGACTTCGATAACAACTCTGATAACATTATTGCAGGAATTATTATGATTACGGTCAGGAGATGGTTTGTGAAAGTTATGTCCAATTTAATTTCAACAAATTCAGGCAGGATTAGCGGGCATTACAATCAACTTA